CTGCCTAGCCCGGGACCAAGGTGCCTTCCTAAACCGAGTCCGCTGACACGAGCTGCGGGCGGCCCCGCTTTGCCCCTCCCCTAGGTGCGGTTACCGGCCGGGAGCAGTGACTGACCCGCCTTGGGCCCCGGCTGCCAGACACGCCGACTCGGGGCGGGCATCGCCGGACACAGGGGAGAGGTGGGGGGTGGGCGGATTGTTTATTTTTGTTTAAATGACAAAGCTGCTTGGACTCCATGTTTTTTGCAAAGAAATCTGGGGGCCACAAAGATTTTACTGAAAAACCATTTAACTGCTTTCAAAGGGGTTTTGTCTTTCGAAGGTTTTTTCTCCTACTGTAATTTGTTTTTCATTTTTTTTTTTTTTTTTGCCATCTACCTCGGCTGCGCTCACAGTATTCATGGTTTCAGTCAGAGATCTGGTCAGATGCTTTAAAATGCACTCGCATTTTCCCCTCCCTGATCCCCCCCCCCCATACATTTGGTGGCTTGTCAGTCCCTGGAAGCTGTCCCCGATTTTAAAGTATTCTGGCTCAGAAGTGACGTCATTTCAGCATTTTTAACAGATCAACATGTAATTTGTTTAAAAGCAATCGGTGCTTTTTTTTAATGCAAGTTCTAAACTATCGCATGAGCAAAGGTTCTGTCTTTCATGGTGGGGTGGGTGGCTAAGCTGACCTCTATGTCCCTGGAGCAAAGAGTGTAAAAGTGTCTCTTTTGCAGTCTTCTCCCATTGTTCTTACACAGTAACTGATCTTTAATTTTTGAGGCTCTGTATTGGAATATGACACACTATTTTCCCCACCTGATCTCTCTTCTTTTTTAAATTTTCTTTTGAGTGTATGATCCAGCCTAGGCCTAGGCATGCTAAAATCACAGGAAAGATAGTTGATCCTTTTATATTTTTCTTTTTAAAGTATAATGCTGGTGGGATTAGGAAATCCTGGATTTAAAACAATAAAATAAAAGTGAAATGAAATAAACTCTAGAAGCAGAGGAATTGCTTTTGCACAGAAAAAGAGTGTGAGCACCCCCTGCAGTCTAGGAGGAAAGTTTCAAGAACAACCTGAAAACTACTGAGAAATAGTTTGGGATTATTATTATTTTTTTTTTTTGTGTGTGAAACTTGGCTAACACTTCTCAATGCAGAATGATTCCATCTGACTTTATATAAATGAAAGGGAGGAAGAAGAGGAACCCATCTTAAACTGCATTTGAAAGTGACTGCACATATAATTGCAATGCTGCTTTTTGTTGCCATGGCACCATAACATCCATTTAAAAAAATGCAGAAAAGTTCAGAAGTCTCCTTTCCACTGTTGGTCTTTTATCCCTCTATGTTTGTCTGCACTAAAAACCCTTATCACTGCCATCTCCTTGCTATCCTCTTATTCCCCTTATCCAAACCATTACAATTAAAAAAATAGTTATCTACTGGGGTTTTTTTGTTGTGTTATAACTATTTATCATATATGTATATATTTGTGGGTGATGTTTGTGTGCCTGGTTTTGTTTGAAGCTATCTGTGAGTGGTTCAAAAGTACGGTTTGGAAAATATGCATTTTTTCTAGTCTGAAAACTAAACTTGAGTCTGCCATGGTTTTTTGTTTTATTTTCATTGCACTGAATATTCTGCTTTGTCTATGATGGTTTCACCTGCAGTTTTTTCTCTCTGAAACAATTTATATGATTAAAAAGCTCCAGATTAAAAAAAAAAAAAAGCCCTTTGAAAGTGTCTATTGTTAATGCTGTAATTTACAAGGAACTTCTTAGTTTGCAAACTTTCTCTGTGAGCATTGAAGATGGTGTTAAGCACTTTTGTTGGTGCTTCTCTGTTATAGGGGGGAACAATATCTTTTCTAATGAGGTTTTATTATAGTTACCAGATGGTTGCACATTTTTTTAAATAAATGGATTTGCCACAATGATATGTCATAACATTTATGACATAATATTAAAAAAACATAGTGTATTTTAAAGCCAAGTTCTAGATTGATTTTTTTAAAGAAATCTTGGTTATAAACCCAATTCTAAAGGGAGTTCTGTCCAGTGTTGTAAAGACAACATAATGTAACCCATATTTATATTTTTATAAAATACCTATTAAGACTGTGAATCTCTTGTGTGAATTGCTAAGTGAGTTTAAGAAAAGTATTGTTCCTCTTCAGCTTCTTGGAGCTTTAGGCATGATTAGAATTTGAAAATTGTACATTGGGGAAGGGGGTTTGCTCTGAAATTGTGCGTTGATGTATTTTTGCATCACTTTTTTTTAAATTTTATTTTACTGAAAAGCTGCTGCCTTTCCTAGTCCCTATAGTTTCAATTTTCTATGCAACCCCACAAACCCCATATATATATATATGTATTTTTGTTTTGTTTTGTTATCCTGAGAAATAAAAGGGATGCTGATTTATTCAAATTTAAATGAGGTTTTTTCCCCCCTCTTGTTTGGCTCATAGTGCTGCTGACCCTTCATGCCAAAATGGGGAGTACAAGAAAAAAGACAGGTTGGGGGAGGCTCTTTTGTGCATGACTGGTCACCTTTTGGCAGTCATCTTTGTTATTATTATTATTTTTGTAAGAAGAATATATTGATAATGTCAGTGAAATAAGCAGACATTGAAGCTGATGCACAGATTGCTCCAGAAAGGAGTTTTTCTGTAGATTTTTCTCTAGATGCGAATACCTTTTTTAATTATGTTAATTAATGTTAAGAATTTTTAGGCTTATATTGAAGCTGTATGTGGGTCACTATATGATCATTTCTAACTGGATAAAGTCTGTACAGTACAGCATATTCCTGAGTGTATGATATAGACTTGTAGCCCCAGAGTGAGAAATTTATAAATAAATTTTTCATTGATCTTTTTATAAAAAAACCCGTGGCTTTTTGGTTTGTTCTTTCCCACACGTACATCAGTGAAGCTACAGTCTTGGTAGTGACAACTCCTCATGTGCCTGGGACAAGAAAGCAGTTCGCTATATTGCAAAGGTATTGCTCCTGTCCAGTGTTAAAAACGTTGATCAGAAGCTTGTGTTGTACACTGCCTTTCATCCAAGTGCCCTTGAATGTATTTGAAAACCCGGAACATGGAAAGCCAATACATCTGTTGAACTCTGGAGTAAATAAAGATTTGTGAAGTGTTTCCAAGCAACAGAGAGTGGAATAAATCTCAGGCTTGTAAATGCTACAGGATTGTACTCTCATTTTCTGACAGTGAACTAGTTAGTCTCGCTCTCTCTTTAAATCACATGTTGCATTTTCCTTTGTGCTAATTATTCCTTGAATATGCTGGTTTAGATCAGGATGATGAGCAAATACTGTCTTCCTCTAGCCATGGCTTCAATACAGTTATATCCCCTAGATTTGAAATCCCGTGTCTAAGTTATTAAACCACTGTCTCCATTCATTTGTATAGAAAAATAAATATAGCCGCCTTCTTGCATCAAACAAACCCCAGAGGTGTCATTCAGCGGGTTGCAAGGCAGTGTCATCGTTCAGTCCCAGCATCTAGGTTCTGATCCTGCGAGGTGCTGGGCATCCTTCGCTCCCACGGTGAAGTCTATGGGAGCACCTCCTGGATCAGGCTAATGGGCTTGTAGATATTCCCCATCACACACCCAGCACACTATTTCGTAAACCCCATTGTCCCTGAACCACACAGGCTGATGAGGGTGCTTTAAGTTACCCTTTAAGTTGCTGGGTTTGGGGGTTGAAGTCACTTCCTGAGTAGAGTGTTTGGGGTTTAATGTGTTGAAAATAAAGTGAAATGGGAAAACCCAAGCTCTGTGGCAATGTGTGACAGGTGTGAGCTACCTGTGCAGCTGCCCTGCCCAGCCCCTCTGGCCTTGTAGGTGCTCAGTATTCTGCAGGAGGCTCCTGTGCTGCTCTGTGGCAAGATCTGTTCATGTACCTTCTAGATAAAGGCTCTTGTTACTGGAACTGTGAGCCCGAGCTTACACCCATTGAAGTCAGTGGATGTTTTGCTGTTGATTTCAATGGGAGCAGGATCGGGCCATACATCATGCAAAGCATAGGACCCTACTCTGAACATTCCCAAGGGCTGCTGGAGATTAACTCCAGGTTTGGGGTTGCCCCATCTTTCTATAAATGCCCAATCCTGCACCCATGGATATCCATGGGAGTTTTGCTGTTGGCTTCAATGGATGCCGGATTGAGCCCCAGGCTAACAACTTTGGACCCCGCACATAGGCTGGTGAGAGAGCACTTCCTGATGTGCATTACCAGAGCCCTGAGCGTCGTTTGCCAAAATGTTAGTAACCCTAGCAAGCTGACTGCCCAGCTGCGCTGGGAAACGTTCGGCATTGTCTGGGTCACATCTGTGTGATACCAGCCTGGGTGCAGTACTGGTGTGATACCAGCACGGGCTGATATGCCTTATGAAGTAAGACCCTGTCCGTTTTATTTAGAAACATATTTCAGTTAAATGCCAGGAAGGGGCAGAAACTGCCCAGCTCCCCCTAGAATGCTGCCAATCCCTTGACTACAACAAGCAAATGATTTTTATTTTGAAAGCTGCATATAACTAATTGCAGCCCAGGCTTCAGCCTAGAGCAAACACTTATGAACCCC